AACATAGAAAGTTTTGGTCCACAGCTAGGTATTTACCCAAGAGAAATGAAATTTTTTTTGTTTATACAAAGCTTGCACTAGAATGTGCAAGGCTTGAACTAGACCCCAAACATCTGTCACCTAGTAAATTAATAATTAAATTGTTAAAAAGAATAGACTATATTCACACATCAGTGCAGGTGAATCTCAAAAACATCATGTTAAGGCAAAGATACTAGACACAGAAGAGTTCACCATAGTACAAATGGCAAAATTTAAAGTGAAAGAAACAGATCATGGGTTGTCTGAACTAAAAAATTTGGGAGAGGGGGAGATTTGACTGGAGAGAGGCAGAAGGGATTTTGTGTGTATGCTGAGGGAATATTTCTAAGTCATGCTTGTAGCAGTTACCACTTCAGGAAGGCTGTTTCGGTTTTTTTTTTTTTTAAAGAAGCTTATTTCTAATATTTGCCAAGTTTTTTGGCCCTTAGGCCTACCCCATCATATTACCTGGCTCTGTCTCCCAAATTATCATTAGCTTTTCCTGTTTGGTACCTTGTTGCCCTAGAAAACCTTGTTGTTGTTCTAGAATTTTTTCTATTAATTAATATTATTGAAAAAACAGCTGTTTAGGGTGTTCAGAGTCTCTTCTTTGTGTCTTCCAAAGTAATATATTCAATAAATACATCCATATTAATATAGTATTAAAGGCAAGGCCTAGAGAAGGCTTTATCCTAACACATTAGGAAAACAGTTAATAAGGCCAAAGTTGTTTGAGTCTAGATAAGCTTCCTTTTATGAAAATAACTGTCCATCCATATAATGCTGGAAATAAATTTCTGAAGATTAAAGTTTAGATTTCTAGTTTGCAAAGTTAATCTCTAGGGATTATTTAAGGATTCTGTATTTTTAAAAACTCCACAAATTACTTTAGTGATGAGTCAGGCTTACAAACAAGTGGATAGAGATACTACTAACCCTCTTTTAAAAATAAGTAAAATTTCCTTTCCTGCCATTATTTAGACTTCACAAAGGGACATATATTTAACCAGAAGAATTGCAGAAGAATTTTCCATATGCTCCAATATATCTGTCATTTCCACCATTGATCTTTTCACTTCTCTAAAGGAAAAACTGGGGAGTTAGCTAATTTTATTAAAAGCCTTCTGTGTGCCTGATACTTTATAGAAGCTCACGTTTATCCTTCATAGGTTTTTTGTTTATTTTAATGAGATCAGAGACAGTAAGCAGCTTGCCTAAGGACAGACCTATTAAGTGGCAAGTTTTGCCTATTTGACTTTAAAACAAGTATGCTACCTCTAGACAGAACAAAGAAGGGCTGTCCTTTGTCTTTTCTGATGGCTCTTTTGACCCTGAATTTCTCTTCTGTTCTATCCCTGGATGCAAACAGGAAAATAAAAATCTACTGGCATGTACCTGTAACCCCAGGTGAGGCTAAGGGAGGAGGATTAGAAGTTTAAGGTCAGCCTGGACAGCTTAGTGAGGCCCTTTCTCAAAATAAAAACAGAAGCTGCGGGAGAGCCCAGCAGGACGACTCACTACCTGCCCTGGGGCAAGGAGAGACAAGATGCATAAGGGGCTCTAACTGATCGCAAGAAGTGACCAGAACATGAAGAATGGCAGGGAAGTGATTGCCTTCCAGCCAGGTGCTGGAGAAGTGGGTATCCTGAAAATGCCAATGTGCAGAGACCAAAGCAGCTCCCAAGAAAAGCCTGCCGTCTGCAGCAAAGGGACGGTCAAGACAGGAGCCTTGCAGATAACTGCTTCACAACCCCTCAAGCATCATAAACAAGCAACAAAACAAACACAACACCTCTGGTCACCCCTACTCGCAAAGGACCACTGGGAACCTAGACTTCGAGTGACTCCGTGCCCTCACCTTCCTTGAGTGACAAGATGCACCTTGAGTGACAAGATGCCCTCACCTTCCTCCTGATACTGTCAAAAGGGGCCAACCTGGTAGCTCAACCTTTCATTTCCCTATGCAACGATGAACCACCTTTTCTGAACATGTTAGTGAACACTTAGGCTTCTGCTTCACATTAGTCATGGTTCTCCAGCAAAACAACCAATAAATGTGTGTGCTCGTATATGTATACACACACACACACACACATACGCACACAGTCTTGGTTACTTTTTTCTTGTTACTGAAACAAGATACCTGATGCCCAAAATTAAGGAAAGAAAGGTTTATTTAGCTCACAGTGTGTGGAGGTTTTAGCCCATACTCAATTGGCTCTGAGGCAGGGTGGCACACGGCAGAGGGCAACAGTTCATGGTGGCACCAATAGCCAAAGCAGCAAGAGCAAAAGGGGAGGAGTAGGGGTAAGCAGCCTCTTTTCTCTCTTACATATGTAAACTTTCCACCCAGGGTGGGTGTAGCACTCACCCTGGCCATCAATCATAAACTCTAAAAGCCTGCCCCATGGCTGCATGTGTCTTTGGGGGGACATCCAGACACAAACCATAACACACACACACATACACACACACACGTACTAAAGGAGTTGGTTACACAATCATGGAGGCTGAAAAGTCCCACTAGACTATCCAAAAGCTGGAAAGCCAAAAAAAATCAGTGGAATGGCTTAGTTCAAGAAGTCCAAAGGCTCAGAACCAGGGAGGCTGACAGTGCAGCCCAGCCTGAGGTTGAAGGCCTGAGAGCCCCAGAGAGCCATTGTTGCAAGTCCAAGGTTACAAAGGCTACAAAACACTGGAGTCTGGTGTCCAAGTGCAGCAACGAGAAATACACCCTGTTCCAGAAGGAAGAGCCACAAAGCAAACTTCCTGTTTCTCCTGTCTTCTTTTCAGGACGCCAGTCAGTAAAACAGTGCTTGCCAACATTGAAAGTGGATCTTTCCCAGTCAATCCACTGACTCACTTAACAGTTTGTTCTGGAAACCCCACAGACACACCAACAAGTAATGCTTTATAAAGGTTCTCCAGGCATCCCACAGTACAGTCAAATTGACAATGCAAAGTCACCATCACACATCCCAACCTAGCAGTAATGAGATGCCCTTGTTTGCAAGGATGGTGTCAGATGAGAACTAAAAGAAGTTCAAAAATTTCACCACCGCCTAGCAGCAGTGAAGTTTCCCCTCCATGGCATCGTTGTAAGACCAAAAAAGTGTAGTGAGGCTCCACTGTCCTCATTTCAGGGAAGCTACCCTAGCCCAGTTCACAAAAGCTCTAGAAAGGGGCTGTGCTCCCACTGCTGCCCTGCAGTCACAAGATGCTCCCCATGGATGTCAACCATGGCTGGCTGTACAACTCGGACCTCCACCACCATGTCACAGTAGTGAGGCAATTCCCTGGCTGCTCTGCATTGGTGCAGTGTCAGGGAGGCTGTTCGACAGGTGGTTCAGTAAAACCCAAGCTTCATAACAGGAAGCCCCAAATGTCCACAACTTAACCATGTGCTACCCAGGAAAATCTGAACTAGAGTGAGAAAATGAATATACAGCAACACCAAGATGAGAATTGTCTGAATTATTTGAACAGTCATAAAATCCTTAAGTAGCACTTATGAACAACATTGAAAGAAATTTTTAAAAAATGGCATCAGTAAGGAAATAGATACAAGGAAGAACAAAATGGAAATTTCAGAGCTAAAGAACACAGTGCCAGAATAAAGAGCATTAGTGGGTGGGATTAAAAGCAAAATGAAGAGGGAAGAAAAAAAAATCATTGTGCTTGAAGGTGGAAGAACAGAAACACTAAACTGAAAAATTAGAGAAAACACACAACAAAATTAAATAGGGCTGCAGACATATGCGAAGATTATAAAGCAAAAGACAACATCTACTTTTCAGAATCTAAAAAGGAGAAAGAAGCTCAAAAGTTACTTAGACTAATGGCTGACGGTTTCCCATGTTTGGCAGTTGATATAAATGCACACATTCAAGAAGCATAGTTCATTCCAGACAATGAACTCAAGGGAATACACATCAACACTCAGCACAGTCAAATTTATGAAAGTTAAAAACAAAGGAAAGTATCTTGAATGAAGAAAAAAAAAAGTGTACCTGTAGGGGAAAAATAAGTTACAGCAGATTTCTCCCTAGAAACTATGGGAGCCAAAACGAACTATCAACCTAGAATCCTTTATTCAGTGAAATACCCTTCAGGAATAAAGGAGAAAAAAGACATTTTTCAGATGAAGAAAAGCAAAAAGAATTTGTCTCCATTAGACCTACTCTGAAGTAATAACTGAAGGAAATTCTCTAAATGAAATGTTAACAAAAGGAATCTTAAAACATTAAGTAAAAAAATAGTAGAATTTAAATATGGAAAAATATGGGTAGGTTTAAATATGGAAAAATATGGGTAGGTACAATAAATTTCATATCTCTTGAAAAAATAAAAACAGAAAAGGCTGGGACATAGGTCAGTGCAGTGGCTCTGGGTTTGATCCCCAGTGCCATGAAAAAGCAAAACACAAAAAACTACTGGCATATACTATGTTTGGGGTGAATTGTGTCTAAGTTTCTCTTTGTCTTTAATATCATGTGGTTATGACTATTACTTAGAAGATATATTTACATAGGGAAAATATTAGAATGAATATTAGGTTACTAGGTTGAAGTATAGTCCAAGTAGAACTAATGGTGTGTTAGTTTTCTGTCACTGTGACAGAATACCTGATATAAGTCAAGTTTAAAAAGGTGTTACTGTGATGAAGGCAGCATACTGAGCTTTCATGTTAGTGTTTTTATGGGTTCTCTTATGAGGACCAACCAGGCCAAATCAGTGGGTTAGTTTATTTGCTTTATCAAATTTAATTTAAAATTTTCTTTTTTTTTTATTTTTATGCTTGGCATTAAATTCAGGACCTTGTGTTTGCCAGGGAGGTGCTGTGCCACTGAGCTATATCCCCAGCCCAAAAATTTCTTGACCAGAGTTTGAAAACTTCATTAAGAATTTCTAATGCTTGGTAGTAGTGTCTTAAGACAAAAACAGATATATAGAGAGGTAACTAAAAAACTACATTGTAGGTAGCTGAGATACCACCACAACATGGAGGAAACTCTAATCAAAAAGATCAAACACAGAAGACTGCTTTGGGTGAAGCAAATAATGAAAAAATGAAAGAGTTGCTAAAATCTTATGGTGCTACCAAGACCAATAATGAAGATGATAATAATGCTGCAGTCACTGGTACGTATGTCAGTATTACTTGCTATTTTATAAGATGTATATCTTCGGTTAGAAAAACAAAATCTTTACAATTGTAGTATAAATTGCTTCAAAACTGAAGATAGATATTTCTTAAGTTCTTGAAAATCCATTATGTTCTGTTAGAAATTAGCAATTTGATTTAATGTATAGGTCATATGATCCTATCAGGTTAGAGTTACATGTTGAAATGACATTTGCATCAATCATTAATCAAACATGAATGTCCCTACCTTTGGGATTGAGATAGAGACTTAAACTAGGTAGATTAATTTACTTGTAGTGGGGCTAGAAAGGGGTGACATTATACTAATACCTTTGCAACTAAGATTTTAGTACTTAAAAAATTTGTAATGATACATCTTTTGGGCTCATGCTGACTTTTTAAGAATAATGTTCTAATACTAGAATATTTGTTAAGCAGATATATTATACTTGCATATATGAGTAATATGTATGATAGTAAAAAGACTATTTGAAGGTAATGCATAGCCAGGCAAAATATTACAGGCCTTTCTTTTTTTAGCAGTAGTTTACATTGCATTAATTGTTGAGGAAAGGCGATTGTTCTTCCTTTTTCCTCAAGCTTGAGGCTTTGCTCATAGAAGCAGCAGCTCAGCCTTTGCTATGAGGGAGTGTGCTAGGGGTGAGAACCCCTGGCACATTCTGCCCCTTCAACCTACTCCCCTCATTGCTCACCAACCTGTTAAATTTTCAAGGGAGGAGTTACTGATATGACTAGACAAACCAAGGATATTCGCTGTGTAATATTTTAGTAAGCACTAGATCATGTGGCCAGGGTCAAAACTGGAAAAAGTTTCCTCTTTTTATTGCTTGCCACCTTGTACTAAATCTGTAGGGTCAGAGCCTTTCTTAGGGTCACAGCTACCTCTCTATCCCTCTTCCAAGCCTTACCTGAAAGAAAGTTCAGATCCAGTGATTCAGCTGACCTCATAGTATTAGAAAAACTTTGCATTTGGAGTTATTAAGACTCTGTTATAAAGTGCTATATTTGTTCTCGCATGCCTTTTGTTTCTTGCATGTACATTTACTTGGTCAGATATCCCAGAAGGATGAGGGGTACAGAATAAATGATAATGTGGAGAAAGGGAATCCATAACAGGGAAGGATTCAAGAGAACTTTATAGTCATCATAGTTAAGAGCATAGACCTGCAGTAAGATCTGGTTTCTACTAGCTGTGTGACGTTGGAAACTTCCAGAACTTCACTGAAGGAAGCCTCATTTTCTTCTGTAAAATGGATAGAATGAACTATTGACCTCAAAGGAAATTAAACAAGATGATTCACAGGGAATGTTTGCCACCTAACACATGGTAATACTCAGTAGGTGTCAGCCATAGTATTCAAATAGTAATAATAATGAGATGCTAATTAGCATTAAGATATAATTATAGAATGAATTTATCCTTCTCATCCTGTCAACATTAAAACTGATAAAGCTAAATTTTTGTACTTCTTGCTCTACTTTCTAACTTTATTTTTTAAAGTAAAAAGTCCTACTGTTGGTTCAAAAAGATACAAACAGTGTTTTTGTGATGATGACAAAACTGTGGATGCACCTTCCCCTTCACACCAAGAAAAAGGAAGAGAAAACTTCCCTGTGGTGAGTACAGTTGAAATTCCTTTATTCTTCAGTCTAGAAAATGTCATTCCTTGAGCCAGCCAGCCATTGGCTATTGGTGGCACTGTCTATTTTAAGGACATGTAAGTTAACAATGTTTTTTGTCGTAAAAAAATTAAGATGCCATAATTGAACAGAATGAGCCAACAAGATATACTATGTGGTTAAGTCTCGGGTATCTGCATGGAATACAGAACTATCTGCTTCTGCTGACTTTAACACCTAATTTGAGTTGTTTGGCTGCTTTCCAACAGACACTGCCACTGTCATCATGTATTTTCACTCCCTCTCAAAAGTGTCTGGGATAAGCAGTACATAGAAAAGACTCGAACCAAAGCAGAGAAAAGAAAACTGGGTTAGCTGTCCTGGATCCCCTGTGATTTGTAGTAATACAGTTTTCTATGAAACTCATCATATAAAGGTAGATTTTTGCAAAAATACCCTAATGATTGCCCAATAAATTACATATTGAGATGGATACTCTCAGTTTGACAAAAAGAAGCAGTTTACTAGACACATGTTTGCTTGTAATCAAACAAAGATTATATGATTGCTTGTAATCATCAAAGTAAAGTAAGTACAGAGCCCTGTTGTACTTCAAGGAGGGTTTGAGGACCTATACATTTTAAAGATGAATATATTGAGAATTTATGAAAGGATAGATACTATAAGTCAATCCATCAGTGATCATTATTGATCATGATTGATCATTATTGATCATTCTATACCCCTCATCCTGTTTACCTAGCAATGTATAAGTCATACACACATATAAAAACTGCTCCTGCCTGTAAGATTTCATTGTCTTACTGAGGAAATATAGACGACAGTATGCATATTGTTATGGTCTAGCTCTAAAGTGGCCCCCAGAAGTCTGAAGTGGTCAGAGATGGGGTCTTTGACAGATGTTGGATGATGGGAAGCTGTATTTATCATGAGATTAATCTGCTGATTGCTAAACATGGTGTTAGGAGAAAGGGCCTAGTTACAGGCAGTGGGTAACAGAGGGTGTGATCTGGGAGTGTGTTTTCTCATCCCCGGCTCTTCCCTTCTTTCTTCTTCCTGGCTGCCATGGACTGAGCAGCTTGCCTTGCCATGCCACTCTGCCATGCTATTTCTGCCTTGGAGCCAGTCATACCAGACTGAACCCTTTGAAATTGTGAGCCAAAATAAATCTTTGTTTAAGTTTCAAGTGTTGGGTATTTTGTCCCCGCAAAGAAAAAGAAAGTGAATATATATGTATATATTTATAATACTAAATTACATAGCTCTGAAATTCTAAATTCTGAGAAAAGATAAATCAGTGTGAATTAGTCACAGGTTTCATATATGAAATGGGTTTTACATAATAATAAGCAGTGTTTATTGAGCTCTTACATTGTGTTAACATTGTCCTTACCATTCTATGTGTGTTGCTCATTTCAGGCATAGTGAAGGTAAGTAAGTTGCTGGAATTACCCAGATGGAAAGAGTTGGACACAGGATTACAACCAGGTGTCTGGATCTGGAGGGAACTCCGTGATTTTCTCTCACAACAAAGAGAGGGATCTGGGCAGTGTGAACTAAAGGTGTTCTAGGGAAGAAGAGAAGTATGAACACAGTAAGAAAGGGTGGAAATACATCCCATTATTAAGTTTGCTTTTTTTTTCAAATCTGCAATATTTATACAGTTTACACAAAACATGGTTACATTTTGAGCATATAGAGAATTCAGCATTTTTAGCAGTCATTCACTCTGTTTATCACTGGCATATTAGGGAGCACATCTACCACCATAGTTAAGTTTCTAATATTTTTATCTGATAGCATCAGACCATCAGTGCCATTCTACAAGATATAGAGGAAAACCAAGAAAAGTTATTAGAGTTTGAAATAAGAAACTCTAAGGATGTGGGTAAGTATGTTCGCGTACTCAAGTATGGTGGTTTCAGGCATCAAGGGTCATTGCTACCTCATTGTTGAGGTATATGTTTATTTTAATTTTCTCAATGGCTGAAACAGTGGTCTCTTTATATGAGAATATTTAAGGCATCAGGAGTTGTCATTAAAGTCAGTGATTCAAACCAGTAGTTGTATAATTTTTAACAAAGATCTATATTCAAGATGGTATGAATAATTTGAAAGGCATTTAGAACCATGATCAAAGATAAGCAGCTACAGGTGATATGTTTAGATAAAGATATGACAAAAAGCGTAGGATGTGACTAGAGATGAGATTATGTTGCTTCTTGGCTCTTTAGCTTTACTCAGCTTCAGCAACCTTTAGAAACAGATCAGAATTGCAGAGTGCAATGGTGACATGGGCAGAGAATATCCTCATACTTTTTAGATGAGCATATATACAAGCTAACCGTACAGGTCATGATTAATCCACACTCCCAGAACTTAGTCAGTGGGGCAGAACGATTAGAATTTAGTGGGTTGCTCTTTCTTGGTGCATTGTTCTTACCTATACTATACCTTAGGGCATTTCCTTAGAATTATGTAATTAAGTAAACCCTGATTTAGATATCTGGACCATTAATATTAGAAAAGTGAGTAGGTAATAATTACTTTTTAAAATCCAACAGTAGGACAGACCTGTGTGGCTAAGTAAAATTTGCTATCCTTCAATTAACTGACGTATTATTGCTATCTATCATAGAACAATACATTGAAAAGATGTTGGAGATAAAAGAGATTATGGATAATGTGCTTTCCAAACAGAAAGCAGAAAGGGATGATTTGGCTAAAAAATACAGGTGAGTATGAAAACAATTGGAATGATTGAGTTTCTGTAGTAAATTCATTTCTAGCTACTATACTGCTGTAGTTGAGATCATAGTGCCCCACTGGGCACTGTTGGGAAGTGGGGATAACTCTGAGGTGGGGCCTAGTGAAGTCTTCCAGTTGCTGAGGAAAGCCCTCAGAAGGATTCTGGGACCTTGGCTCCTTTCTATTCCTCTCTTCTTTCATGGCTTAACCTTGAAACAAATGGTAGCTTTGCTGTACCACTTGCTCCCACTATAATAGGCTGCCTTACCACAGGCCAAGGCATTGAGGTCCACTGACCGTGAACTGAAGGTTCTAAAACCAGGAGACAAAATAAACCTTTTTATAAATTTATTATCTCAGATATTTATTGCAGTAAAAGAAAGATAAATAACAAATACTTAGACCTAGGATTTCTTAAGAATACAAACAATGCTAAGGGCCAAAAAATGACTTCTTATGGTTGTCTCATCTGGTACATCCATGGGGAATTGTACTTTCCAGAAAGATATTTTTCTACTTCATTACTTAAATATTCATAAAAGAATATTTAAATATCTGAAAAAGTTGTCTAAAATGAAGAATTTAGTTAAAGCCTTTCTGGTCCTGAATCTCACAGTAAATTGAATCTCACATTCAAATTTTCTACATTAAATTGTTTTCTTATTATTATAAATGTCCTAGGAAGTTGATTAATTAGGTGTGTGTGTGTGTAGTGTGTAAAGTGTGTGTGCTTTCAGTATTTCATGGTCCTTATGGAGTTTTATCCTGATAACACTGTATTGGTTATATGCCTCTTATGCTTTTTTTTTTTTTTTTTTGAGAAAAGTGTCCCGTATATGTTTCTTATTTGAGCATTTTTATTAGTTTTTCATAGACTTAGTTACATATGTACTCTATTATTTGTTCACATTTAATTTTTCTGTTTTCTTTTATATTCTTGTTGGATAATCACTTAACATCTAAAGTTTTTCCCTGAACTTATTTGAAAATCACTTTTAATTTTTATTTATAAGTCCACTATCTTTTGTCTTCAGTACCTTAAGTTTCTGTTTCCTGAACTGTTTTTCTGACATGATCAAGCAGGTGAGCTTTTGTGAGCTACAGATGGATAAAAGACCACAGAATATTTTCTAGGGGTTTTAGAGAGTCTGGCTTTAATTTTCCTTTAGTGTCCTATGGTGAACATACCACCGAAATCTTGGAAAGCTTCTAATCAATTGGAGTTTCAGGTTGTAATTTCTTACTAATGTTGTTTTAAGACTCCAAATCTTGGTACAGATAATCTAAAGATAACGTCTTTTTTTGTCTAAACTCTTGGTTTCACATAGGTTTAAGTGTGATATTACTACTGAATTTACTCCTTTATCCAGCTTTTTACATTTTATTCTATAGCTGTTTGCTAATTTGATTTCTTTCTGCTTCTTTTTCCATATATAAATAGTTTATATATTAATTATATATTTTATATATATTTATATATATATAAACTATTAACACATAATTTCTTTAATAGGAAAGGCAAAATAGCTATACTGTTGCTTTCCTTTAAAACACCAGTTTTTAAAGAATGACCTAGCGATCCCTGGTGAATCTGTGAAGTGATTTCAAGGAATCTGTGAAATCAAAAATTTTTTATAGTAATACTAAGATGTTATTTGCTCATGAGTATACAATGGAATTTTCTACTGACTATCTGATGGCCAATGGAATGCATGCTTATACTTGCATTTTATAAATTTTTCAGTTTCAATTTCTAAAATAGTAAATATTGATAATTATAATCTATATAAACAAAAATCTTTTGGGTCCTTCAATAATTTTTTAAGAGTATGAATAAATCTTGAGGCCAGAAAGTTTGAGAACCTTTGGAAATGAGTGTTTAGTATACTGAAGTTTGATGTGGGATAGGTAGGCTTAACCAAAAGACAGAGATGTGGAGGTATGATGACCCATTTCCTCTGGACTTCTAAGTGTCTTGGTACAGCTCAAAGTACAATTGCAGTAATGACTTAGAGAACTAATACTTCTCAGGGCTAATTGAGGTATGATTGTTGATAAAACAGTCTTGTTCCTCTGTAGCTAATGAAACCTGAATGGAACTTATTCCCAAATTGTGCTTTCTAAACACCATTCCACTTAAACAGGAACCCCAAACATAATGAAGGAGGGTATTCTCTGTCACGAATTTCTTTGTACTTTTCAACCAAAGATAGTAGCAATCTGGATAGACAACCCAAGTTTTATTTCTCTTTTATGGTTGGCTCAAAACTGATAAATGATATGAATATAAATCACATCCTAAAAAATGGCACTTGCTGTTAATAAAGGAGTCAGCTTCCTGTCAAAGGTTAAATACATGGTGAAGGTAGACTTGTATATACTTCAAGTTGATTAAGATCGAAAGAGTATCTTTAACATTTAAATAACTGCTAAGAAGTTTTCTACTATCTTTATATTTTTTCCTCTTTGTGTTTCTTCCTGTAGGGTGTCCATAGAGTCATTTAAGCATGGAGTCCTGAGAGAACAACTGGCCAATTTGGCCACAAGACAGAGGAGACTTTTGGTTGCAGCAAAAAAACAGAAAAATATAAGCCTGAAAATTCAAAATTATAAGAATATCACATCCGTGTCTGGTTCTCATTTAAGGAAGTTACCATCCAGCTTAGACATCTCCAGTGATAAGGAAGGTCGAGAGCTTAACAATCTGGAAAATTTAGTGCAGCCCCAATTAAGTCCATTTTCACCTGTGAACCTTGATTGTGGAAGTGTGCAAGAAACACCATTACCTCCAGAGTCTCAGAATCATGGCCAAAATACTAACATCTGTCTAAATTCCAAGGCAGTGAAAAGGAAATACTCTAGAGATGAGATGAATTCAAAACAAAATGAAAATGATTGTACCTTGGATGATGTATCAAAATCCAGACATTCAGATAGCACTGAGAAGATTAAATTATCATCCCAGCATGTTACTTTTATTGCTCAAGCAGAATACTCACAAAAAGAAAATGATCTTACAGAAACTATAGCCAAAGATCATGAATTTTGTAGTCCTTCTGCCACAACAAGTACATTAAGTATTTCTGAATGCTCAACGGTCCTTTCCCAAAATGATGCCCATCTATCAACTGTTATTTCGGACCAGGACCTTTCCCATTATGATCCAAAAAGAGGAAACAAGAAAACAGCTTCCCATCTACCACCTGATGGGGCCTCAGAATCTCTGGCACATCAGAAGAGTGCTGTCATAGACACTGATCCTGGACATCCCATAAAACCATATCTTAAAAAGACAGCTTCTACCATTCCACGTGCAAATGACAGGCCGATCTCTTCTTCCTCTGAGTCTGCTCATCAACATGCTATAAAAAAGCCTTCCAGTTTCAGCACAACTCCTAAAAAGAAATGTATGCAGATAAAAGATTTGATATTACTAGGAAGAATTAAGCCAGGAAATAACATTTTGGAATTCAAAACACAGGTATTCTTTTTTTTAATGTAAAATCATGCAAGTTTTATAAATAAATGTTGCGGTCATATAGTGTAGGTATTTAGAAGTTTGGTTGGGCTTCTTGATTGGAGAAACACAGCCACTGTATTCCTAGCAAGTGAAATTATGCTTCTGGAGTTGCCCTGATACAGTTTAGTCACAAGTACGTTTGGGTTCTCAGGCAGAAATAGTCAATTATATTAGCACAGAAATGATTTTTAAAATGAGCTGCTAAAGCATCCCCTAAAGGTAAAACTATAAATTCATCTTCTGTAGAAGCTCAATTTAGAACCAAAGAGTTCTCAATTTAGAACTAAGAGTTGGAATTTAGGTAATGTGACTCAATTAAAGCAATATCATTTATTCATAAAAGTGAAAGAAGAAAAAAAAGATTCTGTTAGATATGCCTATTAAAAATGCTTCCTGTCCTCTTTTTTCACATTCACTTTTTGAAAGAGAAATTTAGAGTGCCAAAGATTGCAGAGTCCTTGAATCCTTCTTTGCTTGTGGATCAATCTAATAGGAATTGGTCCAGGCAAACCAGAATTTAATTTGAATGATCCCTGTTCCCAGCACTTCTCATTTCTAGATAACAAAGCTTTACCTAGTCCATAAGCTTTACCTAGAAGTTAATATAAAAATATTTTAATTTTAAAGCTCTGAATTATAGTTTTATGATCAAATGAGTGGCTTGATCTCAGATTTCTAAGTATTCTAGTTTGCTCATCAGTTGGCCAACTTATTGCTAAGTACTACCTATCTTAGATTAGCCGAAGCACCCCAAATTTTAGTAGATTTGTTATATTAACTATAATATTGGTAATTGTTACTTCTCTGGATCAACTATATACAATTTTAGTAGAGTTTTTCATATTTAAGCTATTTTTCTTTCTCTAGTAGCTTTATTGAGATATAGTTGGCATACAAAAACACTACATATTTAAAGTATTATGACATATGTACACATGTATGAAATTATGATGGAAAACAAGAACACTTGCAGACCATGTTGCTTGCAGTTGAACATTTGACTGTATTTAACATTTCTTGGTGCTATTGTGAATGGTAGTTTTTTCTAATTTATTTCTCAGTAGGTTCATTATTGGAGCGCAGGAACACTACTGCTTTTTTGTGTTGATTTTGTATCATGGTACATTACTGCATTTAGTTATTCTGAGAGTCTTTTGGTGGATTATGGAGGATTTTCTAATAGAAGGATCATGTCATTTGAAAACAGTGATAATTCAACTTCTTCCTTTTAAATACATATCCCTTTTATTTCTTTTTCTTGCCCAGTTGCTTTTGCTAATGTTTCAAGTACTATGTTGAACAGGAGTGGTGATAGTGGACATCCTTGTCTTGTTACTGATCCCTAATTACAAGGAAAGCTTTCAGTTTTTCCCCATAAATGGTTTTTATCAGATTGATACAAGCTCCTTCTATATCTATTTTATTCAAATTTTTTATCATGAGAGGATATTGAATTTTATCAAATGCTCTTTCTGCATCTATTGAAATGATCATGTATTTTTTGTCTTTGCTTCTGTTTATGTGATGTATTACATTTATTACATTTATGTAATGTATTACATTTATTGGCAGCACTGGGGTGAAGCCTATTTAATCTTGGTATGTGGTCTTTTTTTGCTGCATTCTGTTTGCCAGTATTTTATTGAGTATTTCTGCATCTATATTCATTAAAGAGATTGGTCTATAGTTCTCTTTTTTTTTGGTTGGATTCTTGGTCCCTCACTATACTTGCATTTATGTTTATCTTATTTTATGTCCAGGTAGAGTTATTTTATGAAATTGGGTGTGCTACTGTTCAGTGCCTATATATATTAATAATTGCTGCCTCTCCCTGTTTGAGGGTTCCTTTAACCAATATACAGTGACTGTCTTTGCCTCTTCTGATCAGTTTTGGATGCACAACCACTTTTTCTGAATATAGGAGCTCCACTTTTTTCAGATTCCCATTATGTGGATTATTGTTTTCCATCCTCTTATTTTTAGTCTATGAATTTCTTTTTGGGTTAAATGTGTCTATGAATTTCTTTTTGGGTTAAATGTGTTTCTGGTGTGTTTCTGGTTAAATGTGTTTCTTTTTGGGTTAAATGTGTTTCTGGGTTAAATGTAATAGCATTGGGTTCTTGTCTGGTTTTACAGTCAGGGAAATGGTAGCTTCCAGGAATGACCTTGGGAGTACTTCCCTTTCAATTTTACTGAAGAACTTGAGGAGTGTTTGTGTTACATCCTCCCTGAAGTTTTTGTTGAATTTAGCAGTGAGTCCCTCTAGACCTGGGCTTTTCTTAGTTGTAGGTTTTATATTAGTGTCTCATTACTATTGCCTGTTACTGGATTATTCAGGGTTTTTAAATCTTTTTAGTTCAGTTTTGATAATTCATGTATCTATATATGAATCTGTCCATTTCTTTTGAGTTCTCCAATTTATTGGCATACAGGCTTGTGAAATAGTTGTTAGTCATCTTTTTTACTTCAGAAGGGTCTATTCTGATTTCACTTTTTTCATTTCCAGTTGCACAGATATGGATCTTCTTTGGTTAGATTGGCTAAGGGTTTGTCTATGTTGCTTATTCTTTCAAAGCACCAACTCTTCAATTCACTTGCCTCCTTACATTATTTTTTAATCTCAATTTCATTAATCTCTGCTCTCTCTGATCTTTATAATTTCCCTCCTTGTGCTAGTTTTGGATTTGGATTATTCTTGTTTATCTAGGACCCTGAGATACCTAATTAGATTATTTATTTGGACTCACTCTGTTCTTCTGATATGGGCATTCAGCTATAAATTTTCCTGCGAAGAGTGCTTTCATTATGTCCCATAAGTTCTGGTATGTTGTACCAACATTATTATTTAGTTCTAGAAACTATGTTTTTTCTTACTTGATTTGTCCTATAACCCATTGTTTAAGTTTCTATGCATTTGTGTAATTTGTTTTATTGTTGATTTCCAGTTTCATTGCATTGTAATCTGATAATATGCATGGCATAATTTCAGTTCTTTTACATTCACTTAGCATTGCTTTATTTATTAGTACGTGATCTGTTTTGAAGAAAGTTCTATGTGCTGCTGAGGAGAGTGTTTATTCTGTTGTTAAGTGGAAAACTTGCAGCATATTTGTTCAACTGATATTTCTTTGTTGAGTGTTTGGTCTGGTTGATCAGTCTGTTTGTGAGAGGGAAATATTGAGGTTCCTCCATATACTTGCATTTATGTTTATCTGATTTTATGTCCAGTAGTACTTATTTTATGAAATTATGTGTGCCACTGTTCAGTGCATATATATTAATAATTGTTACCTCTTCCTGTTTGATGGTTCCTGTAACCAATATGTAGTGACCATCTTTGCCTCTTTTGATCAGTTTTGGCTGGATGACCACTTCATTTGAATATAGGAGACCCATACCTCCTTTTTTTTTTGAGTCCCATTACATGGATTATTGTTTTCCATCCTCTTATTTTTAGTCTGTGAATTTCTTTTTGGGTTAAATGTGTTTCTTGTGTGTAACCTAGCATTGGATTTTGTTTCTTGATTCATTCTGCCACTCTATGTCTTTTGATTGGCAAATTGAGACCATTCACATTGAGAGTTAAGTGTGGAAAGGTATTGACTTCCTCCTGTCATTGCCTTATTTTCCTGTTGCTCATTCTTTATCTTTCCCTTCTGCTAAACTACTCACCCTACCTGTGTATTCAATCTGTTTTCTGATTTTTCACTAGTTTCAGTAAATATTAGTCCTCTTTGCATCATCTAGGAGCTGTTGGATCCATTTTTCATGTTGTCTTGTTCTTTTTAAGGCATCTTTCATTAATTGGGTACCAACTATAGCCCTGTCTTCTTATTCTGACACCATATCCTCACATTGGTCACTTCAGCTGCTCATATTTTCAATAGAATTTTTAATCTCCTAAATTTATACTTGGAGTGTTTCTATGAACTCTGATTCTTTGCTATACTGGTCATTCATGTTTTCAATTATTTTGTTTAGCTCTGCTAGCTTTTTACTGATGTCTTCTGTAGACTCACTGATCATTTTATTTGGCCCATTAACTTTTATTTGTACCTTCTGTGAGTTTTCCAAATACTTTATTGATTTGCTTTATCACCTTTGATATCACTTCAGATAATATGGCTATGTAACTTATGGTTTCCTCCCCTTTAATGCCCCATGGATCTGCTTTGGGGAAATTAGGAATGTAGGGATGCTCTTTTTTTTTTCTTTTTCTTTTTTTTTTTTTTTTTGCTTCACTTCTCATGTTTGTGTGTTTCGTTTGTCAGTTTGTTTGTTTTTGTTGAGGCGTCCAGCTTCCAGGTTGATTGTACTGCAAAGCTTTGTTTCAGCGATGGAGTCATCTTTTATTGATGTCTACTTTTCAATTGTATTTTCTTGGCATGTCTAACTATTGGCTTGTGCCTCTGTTCCAGCATGCAGCCATCTCGATTTACTTGGAATGGAAGGTTGCAGCATATTTGGCCTAGTACCCAGTTCTCCAAGAATAGACTACAATATTGTTAATGACTCCAAGGCAATCCAGATAGTGGCATCCCAAGAAAACCAAGTAATAGCCATGACTGTGCCACCTTGACTATAGTGATAAAATCAGCATCAATATTTTAACCTATAGTAAATGCCTACTAAATGGAACAACTTTACCTCTTCTAACA